CTCGAAACGCAAGTTCTTCACGGATTCTATCCCCTCCACATCCCTGCAGCTTCTACAGAAATCATTATGCTCCGAACCTGGCGATTATGTGGCCAATAGTCCAGTGCGCCGTTAGTGTTCCTGTGAAACGCCTAACGTTTAGCTTTGAAAGCCTCCTCGTTCTTTGTTCATCGAGCCGTGGCCAGAGCGAGGGCGATACCATGCAGGTGTGCAGATTTTTCCACCTACAGTTGATAGTTACCCTAGTCAGTCTCTTTACCTCTGAAGACAGAGAACGTTTCACGATCTGCATCGATTCCCCGAGCCCCATCTCCGATCCTTTTCTAGCATATTCGTCCGCCTCCTCATTTCCCGGGACACCACAATACCCTGGGACCCAGTAAAATTTGATTATGTGTTGCTTTAGAGCTTTTATGGATTTTCGGCATTCTTTAACTCATATCGAGTTTGTCGTTGCCGACCCTGAGGCTTTGATAGCCGCCTGACTGTCAACAACGAAGGCAAGTTTAGATGGAGCTAGGTCAATCATGCTCACCAATCTTCCCGCCATGTGGATTGCACACATCTCAGCCTGCGGTGATCTGGGAGTATATAGTATTCTCTAATAGTAAACTCCTGAGAAGAATGTTCCGATATCCATTTTGAAGCCGTCCGTGAAAGTGGTTATTTCGTCATTTCCAATTTCCAGTCACTTCTGTCCGGAAAATGAATGTCGAAATTTCGATTGAAGTCAGTTTACGTGACCTGCAGTAGGATTCCAGCATTTACTATCGCTACTTTTGATCGCCAAAAATCTCAAAAAGAATAGCAGGTACGCCGGACAACATGCAAAATCTAGTTACATGATGTTTATACTGCCAGATTTCGCTTATTAAACATTACAGTTATTACTTTTCCATTCAGTATACTTTTAGGCCCACTGATTTTCATTTAGAGAATTTTGGCGACGATAAGTGATTTTTAGAATTCCACTACTGATAGTCACAGTCCTCTTCTCTCACGAGGATTGTGGCGTAACACTTTTAGATTTTTAGCTTTTAGTTGCGGAACTTTTGACCTATAGTTATATGGGTAGAATACCCAGGAGGGTCTCCAGCGGAGCAGGAATTCGTTTAGCACGAACTTCCTTAGCAGAGGGGATAACCGTGCTTTAGAATTTTAGTTGAATAACAGTAAATTGCAAATATCCCAAAACGTATCTATAGGAAAAAATTTGACTCGATTTTCGGAATCAGCGGGCGATTCTACATTGCCATTGGATAGGGACATCCGTGGAGCGAAAAAAAATGAAATTTGTAGACCAGTGTTACATTTCAAACTCCTGAAGGGTTTGTCGTGGTTGGTTGAGATGAATGTAATCACTCCACTGCTGGTATATTTTGGCCTTCTGTTCAACTGCCATGCATTGTATTGTGGGCTGTCGATACCACTTTCGAACTCAAGGAGATTAACGTGACGCATTTTACTGATGCGCATTTTTTTTGCATATCCAAGGGACCTTAATGCTGAAAGTATATGCAGTAGCCGCTGGTGGTAGCATAGGAAGAAGAAGACATATCTGCGATGGAAAGACCATAAGGAGAAGGACTTGGTTTAATTTGACATGTCGAAGTAACGTCCTCGGCACAGGATAGAAGCTCAATTTCATGCTAAATTGGATTCGACCAGAAACGATGAGGCTATTAGAACGCTACTTAAGAAAAATAGGTAGAAGCTAGATGAAACCTTCTTTAGTTTTTCACTGGGATTTTATCAAGATTTTAGTGTTGTTTTAAGACTATGATTCTAGTAGTGGTACCTAATTTTTGCCGTTTGGATTCAAAAATCCATATAACGTGCTGCCCAACATTTCTTTTGCTAACTAAACAAAGGGATCTGTATTTAGTTGAATAACATGAAACGTTTAATTTGTTTGTGTCAACGCATTATTAACCGACTTCCAAAAAAGGAGGAGGTTATCAGTTCGCCGGAATATATATATATATATTTTTTTTTTATGTATGTTACCGCGGAAAGGTAGTGTCTCAGAGGTGGTCCCATAGTAGGCTTTTTTAGATTCGATCATTGGATCATGAAATATATAGACATATATATATTTTTTTTAAGTCGGTTTTTTTTTTTTGATAAAAATTACTTGTTTCATATTTCGTCTGCACAAAATTCATTGCGTTTTGATACACACAAGGCATTTGAACTGAACGCACATAAATATGTATGTTTGTTGACTCATATGTGTATGCTTTGCAATTAAACGAATTTGTATGCGAATATTGTGCGTGGTGTGACCAAACAAAGTCCCAGACGCTCAAGCAAATACAAATAAAACAAAACAGTCATGCCAATGCATTTAAACAAAAGCCACAAATGTTGTGTATGAAGCTTTTGTGTGAACATAATAATAGAAACAAACATGCGAGTTCATTTGGTTTAAATTCATTCACATTTAGACAAACTCATATTTATACACCTATGCGAAGTTCGTTGGTTGGCGTTAGGAGTTCTTGTGCAAAACTTACACAGAAAATACATACTTGCGGTATTTATTCGTATTTATATTTCACTTAGTATATTCTTAAAAAAATAATATTTGCGTGTACATATGTATGCAGACATACATATATTTATGCGCTGAATATTATCGATTATATACATATGTATGTATGTAATTTTCCATATACTTATACAATAAAAAAAAGTATAGAATTTCCCAACATACCCTTTGGGAGGCACACTATATTTTAAGTGAAGTAGGTACTACATATTGTACATACATACATACACATATAACATAAACCGGAATTTGCAGATTCATTTAGTCCGTGTTGCGTTGAAAATTCCAAATGTCCTGAATGTTTGAAGAAAAATATTTATTAATTTTGTGTGCCGCAATATTCAAAATAACCGAAATTCCATAGCTACGGAATACATCTGTACATACATACATATGTACGTGTAGAAAATAAATATGCACGCATATTTCCATAAGTATTTATATAAAAAAAAAATACATATGTAAGTATGTTATATTGTTGTACTTTTATACGTGTGCACATAAATAAATAAATTCATATATTGGATGGTAGATATGTATGAATGTATAAAAATTGTGAGTACGTGAAAAAATCTGCATAAAATTTTTTTCCTGTTTCATATTTTGTTATTGACATTTTTCCTCGACAAATAACTCTGCACACAAATAAAGTAATTTGCAAATATTCATTTGTATTTTTATTATAATTTTCATGGAATATCGAGTATTAACCCTTAATGTACAAGGTGATGCCTTCAAAAGGAACGACTTCGAGTGATAAGAAATTTAACTTTAGTGTTTATAAGGGCTTGTAATATTCGTATTCGATATTCGTGTATGCAGATAAACTCCCGATATGCGGATATTCTAAAATGTGTTTGAACCACTTTATAAAATTGTTCTGAAAAATGCCGAATCTGAGTTTCAAAATAAATAATAAAACTCTACCTTAATACGCAGTCGAACCTTCCAGAATGTTGGTCCAATGCCTTTGCTAATCATAATCGCAAACGAAATTATCACTGAAAATTAGCGCCATTCCATGGTGAAAGGCATTTAGTTTCATATTTTTAAATGAAAGCTCTATTAACCATTTCAATACAAAAATCAAGCGCTAATTTTGGATCATTCATTTCAAAAATGAAATCAAAACTTTTGTAAAGCTCTTAGTTTTACCGTTACTCAGCGTCCATTATATTGAACAGTGGCACCATAGGGGTTAAAAAAATGATCTCAACTATTTTTGTTTTATTCTTTCAAAAGTGTAAATAATACCTTTACCCTCGATTTCACAGAACAATTGACTTTTCTGACACTTATTATATTTTTTTGGCAAAAACACGGTCAACTGCAGCCAGAAAAATTTAATTAACCCTAGTGTGCCCACCCAAATTAATAAATGGTGTAGTCCAACCCTGCTACCTGGATTACCATTTACGAATCTGTATATATAATCTATATATATAATACGCGAAGGAATTTTTTGTCCAGGTCATCAAATCTGCACCGCTCGTTCAATTTTCAAAAATGAGGTGTCAATTTAAAGGTATTGGGCTGTAGCTGTGCAATAAGGTTTTTTTTGAAAAGAGCGCCACCTGTTAAAAAATTTAAACCAAATTAAAGCGCTAGGTCTGTAAATGTGCAATATGGTTATCTATATCGAAAAGAGTTGCCACCTTTTAAAAAATTTAATTCCAATTATTCAAAAACTTAAATCAATTAGTACAATAAAAGTATTAATGTAAATGGCGTTGACAAGGTTTTATTTTTTTAAATTAATGTAATAGGGTTGCCACCTGTTAAAAAATCAAATTCAATTCCAATTAAGGAAATTACATAATTGAAATATTCCCCACAGCATGAATTTCGGAGGAGAGAAGCTTAAGAGGTTTTTGTATAAAAATATTTGGAAAGGGGCTGCCAGCTGATCGAAATATCTAATTTATTAAAATTATGCGGAAGTTAGGTTTGTGAAATATTGAAACATGAGTATCAAGCAAGAGTGAATTGAAAGCTTTAGTTTTAACATTTAGACTATTTATGTGGAGTTTAAAAAGGGTTGCCACCTGTTTTAAAAGTTAAATTAAAATTAACTCACGTTAGAAAGTAAGCTTCATTTTCAAAAGAAAAAATTACAAAATTTTTTAAACAAAGAAAGTTAGTCAGAACTTGCCAAAATGTCTCTTCCCTATTCTCGTTTTCGCCGCTGTATATTTATGTACATATATATACATATTTCCGAATTTATTTTCAACCACTGCATATAACATTTTCTTTTACTCATATGTATGTATGTACAATTAATTAAATCGTTGTTATTTATTTGAACTTCCTCCACACATCTTCTCATTTATTCCCTCATTCATCATTTTCCTTGCTACTTCATTTTTATTAACACATTACTCATCATTTTCGTTTGCTTATTTGATTTTTCCTATATAATCTCCTTTTCTTGTTTTCGCTCTTACAGGTGCACCCCTGCCGTGGCAAGGATTGAAAATCGCACGGCATTTTCCGCCCGTCTGCCCACAACAGCTGCCCGATGTTACGGCGCAGGGAAGTGTGAAAATGTCACGCGGTCGTTACAAGCAATTGACACGCCTGCTACCTTACCTGAAGACAGAAAGTGAGGATTGTCTATATCTGAATGTGTATGTGCCACGAGTGGGTAAGTACAATTACTGTACATAAATATACCTGCAAAAAATGCGACTAATTCGGGACGACTACGGGAGCAATCGGAAAGCTACTTGCGTCTTATAATACTTTTTTTGAGGTCTTTATGTGGAATTAATTGATCCCTTTTGTTGGAGCATATCCTATGAAGAGACTGATTGTTCGCCTTTATACCCGAATGGGTATGAAAAGTAACTAAATATTCGATTTCATAAAATAAAAACGTGAGCCAGCTGCGATTCGAACCGAGGTTCTCAAGTTTGCGCTAAGCTATATATGTGTCTACATATCATTATGTCGTTAATTTTAACCGCAAGAGATGAGTCGGGGTGTAATTTATCTCCAATCATACCCGTAGTGACTCTTTATTCTACCCTATTAAGACTAATTCTGGAATATTCTCTTCGGAAATTTGTCGCAAAATTTTTTGCAGGGTACATACGAATTTGTTTGGCAAGGCCAGTATGCGTCTCCTTAACCTTCTGACATGTACCGGTCTGTGTACGCCTACATATAAACATACTTACTGGTAGGTGTGACAGAATGTCCGTCCTCTTTTTCTCGCACGTCATTCTCTAGCAATCCATTTAGCTCTGACAAATTTAATACCAAATACCTTCTCTTTGTATTGGTCGCAGATGGTATATTCGATTCAATGTCCGCCTACGATATGGACACATCCGTAAAACGTTTACCGGTGATGGTGTACGTGCATGGGGAATCTTTTGAATGGAATAGTGGTAATCCTTATGATGGTTCGGTGCTCGCAAGCTATGGTCAAGTCATTGTTGTTACCATCAATTATCGGCTTGGAGTAATGGGTAAGTGCACAGATGCTTTTATAAGTAGATATAAGTAAGTATTACTAAGAGTAAATTTGAATGAGGAGAATTTTATTTGCTGTGCTTATTCGTATGTACATATTGTATATGTACTAACATATGTGCATACATATGCAAGTAAGGAGCAACATGAATATCTATTAATTTATAAATGTACACAGTAGTGTGCCAGCAAAACCTTTTAAATCACCAAAGTTAATGACTTACTCATAATATTTTGAGCTTTGGATGTATAGATTTGGGTGTACATAAAATAAAATAAAATATTAATAAAATCGGATCGTATTGTAGTAGTAGTATGGTAGTGAAAGAGTGTTCTACCTTCCATCATACTCTTCATAGTATGACCTCCTGGGTTATGGGTATGGGTATGGATATTTAACACATACATATGCATATGCTCAACACAGTTATTTGTTGTTTTTTAGTACATACCTTATGTTAGGTTAGGTTACGGTGGCTGTTGGTCGACACACCAGCACACTTAGGCCCAACATAGGGCCCGTTGGGGCAATACAAGAGATCTCGTTATTCCCCACGGTCATCAGACCCCTAGATTAAGAGATTGCTCCCCTGCTAAACAGTACGACTTCTCTTGGTTTTTTCGCATCTCATTCCGGCCACATGAGCTTGGCCCTTTTGCAGGTTTCCACCTGTTTCCATCTTTCGCCTGTTTTGGTAAATACTAAATTGTATATTGAGCCTGTAGGTAGCGAGCGGAAGACCTAACCTCTTCCAAGACGGCGAAAGTGGAAAGTAAGAGCCCTTCCTTGTAAGCTAATCCGCCATCTTATTGCCTGATTTACCTCTGTGCCAGGTGAACCGCTTTGCCGTCACGTTGAGTGATCTGCGGCAGCTCACTACAGTTTACGAGTTGCTGCGAGTTGCGAGATGTAGATGTTATTGTACCCTACTGCTCCTGTCCTTAAGCACTCGGCAGCCTCCTCTTTGGCCGCGAGCTCGGCTTGTAAGACGCTACAGTGGTCCGGAAGGTGGAATGAGTTTTGTACTCTTAGTTGTTCCGAGTACACTCCACCTCGCCTTTGTTATCCAATTTGTATCCCTCAATGTAGAACCGAATAGAATCTGCGAGTCCCGAAACGTCCCGGTTCCATTGTTCTCTGCTAGGGATTGTTACCTTATACTTTTTATGGAAGGTCGTTGTCGGCACGAAATAATCCGTTATTTCCGGCAGACTTATCCTTTCCAGAATTGATATATGACTGCACTGATTCGCTTTCCAGCCATATAAAAGTATTGGCCTAACCACGACAGTATATAACCAAGAGACTATTCTGGGGGAGTGGACAGGTATAGACGGCAGGTATAGAGAGCAACCGTAGAATTGCGCAGACGTTCATATGTGTTCTGTGCCCAGTTAAACTTCTTATCGAGTATCAGCCCAAGATATTTCGCCGATTCACTGAACGCAAGTTCCGTATTTGCCATAGTGGCACCCAACTGGAACCTTGTACCTTCTGGTAAATAATACAAGCGCAATATTGCTTGGGTTTACTCCTAGACCCTTTTCCTTGGCTCACTTTTTCATCGTACTTAGTATTCCCTACATGCGGAACTTTTTCTCTTATGACTAAGGCAAGGTCGTCAGGGCAGCATATGTACGTAATGACATTGCAGTCCTCCTCCTCCGCCATGCACCAGAGCTGTTGGTTGGCTTCCATGATCCATAAGAGAGGAAATAGGACTAAACCTTTTGCGGCACCCTTACTGCCAAATCACCAGTAGCGAATCTACGTCCAGATCCGCCAGCGCCTAGAATGTCACAAGACTGTGTTCCTTGAGGGCTAGTGATTTTTCTATATGCGTCGCGATCTCATGGAGCGCCGTTTTTGTGGACTTACCCTTGAGATATGCATTTCTTCAATATGCATATAATATTATTGGTGATTATTTACTGAAGTATTTTTTCGCATCATAACACCCTGTTTAAAATTAATTAATTCAATATTTAAAATTCTTTTTCACCTCTCTTTCTTATTTATTCATTTCACTTATTCCTCCTCAATTTCATTTAACAGGATTCCTGAAGCCAAGCATTGACGAGAATACAGTGGCAAATTTCGGACTACTTGATCAAATTGCCGCATTGCATTGGATTAAAGAGAATATCGCCTCGTTTGGCGGCGATAAAGATAGCGTCACGCTCATGGGACATAGCACAGGCGCCGCGTGTGTTAATTATTTAATGATATCGCCTGTTGCAGCCGGTAGGCGTCCAATATTGTAACTTGCTCCTGAAGCTATTTATAGCAAATTAACACAACACATTTCGTATTTTAATTTTTTTTTGCTTCTCTTTTTCATATTATTTCGTATCGACATCATATCGCCGCTGATTTCGCACAATACATTCTTGGCATTACGGTGTGAAAACAGGACTCTTCCATCGGGCAATTCTTATGTCGGGCTCCGCGATGTCAGACTGGGCGGTCAGTAATCATTCGCTTCAACTAACTATGCAAATTGCTCACACACTGAATTGTCCTTTAAACGATGACAACGAGGAGATGCTATCCTGTTTGCGTCAAAAACGGTAAGTTACTTAATTATTCAATAGACGCGCGCGGTCTTAGTTGCGACGAGCAACAAAGTTGGTGCATTTTTGACAGGCATATCATATATATATACATATATAACAAGTCAATGTCTGACAATAAAGATACTTGCAAGGAAAGATCTATATACATATGTAAATATATACATACATATTTATACATACGAATGTATGCTTTGCGTACAAATGAAGATAAGCTGAGTATTGGAAAATATTTGTGTTGTCGTGTTTGTGTGCATCCTCCGTCCTTAAATTTGTCTAGATCTAAAGTTTGATCTAGGAAAGCTGTTAAGTGGCTATTAGACTTTTCCGATTTCTCAGAGGCCTGCAGCCGCGTCATTATCCTATCTTCAAAGATTTGTCTGAATTTGGTCCAATCAGTTAGTTTTAGATTTCTAAACTGCCCTATTTTTCGCAATTTATTTAGAAGAATAATAAAACCTATATACGAATGATCAGAACAGGAAGGCCAGACTTCGAGCGTATTGGCATTATAATCTTTCAGGTTACGCTTCTTTAACCGTAGAAAAATACTTGAGATATCCCACGACATTTAGCCATGCTCTGGATATATCAAAACGTCCGCCTGTTCATTGATATTGAGGAAATAATTCTGACCATCCTCCGTCGGCTTAGATGCGTGAAATACCTTTTTATCCCGATATTTTGAGGTTTTGTGCCTGAAACCTGCGCAAGCCGCCTTGGGACCTCAACACGCCTTCGCTTTCGGAATCGTGGAGATCAGATCTCTTTCCAGACCCTTTAGGCGCGTGTTGTTACCTTGCCTTTGAAGGTTTGAAAACACTCCCTTTAGTCATAAGAGTTTAGCACTGTCGTTGCATTTAATGAGCTTGACTACGCTAAGCCAGCATGGGTTTCCCCGATTTTTCGTTCGGTCATCTGTACATAGGGGTCATATCGATCCAGAAAAGGGATGGGCAGGCTATCTCACCAAGGCAAGAGTATGCGTCTCAACTATGTCTTCAGTTTGTCCGCTTTTCTTTATCATAACCGCTCGTAAATTCGACGGGCGGTTGTCACGCTTCCCGGCCATGTAAAGCGGTTTCCTGCCGCGGAGTCCTGCCTTTTGAATTCGTTTCTAGCGTGCTTCTCCGCTATACTATTGGCGTAGTTCTGATTTCTCGCAGTATAGCGTTCGCCATGAAAGAAATTTTGAAACACTCCTCAATAAAAATGACTAAGTCCCTTTTCCAAAGCATCAGAAATTTCCCTCAAGTCACCAAGCACTTGAAGTTCTTTAACTTGTAAGCTTTTCTTCTACTACATAAAGATTTTAAATAACTTTAAACTATTTGTTACACTTTAATATTTTAATTAAAACATAAAATACATTCACAGCGTCCAATCCAATCATTTTCCATTGCCGCTCTGCACAATTTTACGCCAACGCAACTGCAGTGCGATGAGAATGGGTGGGGTAGTGTTGTGAATAATCTTACGGTCAATTTGCAATTCAATGTGACGCACTGTAGCGTTAATGCGATCAACGACAGCAAAACCACTTGCCAGCGCGGTTATTTCCACCCCAAAATCTCCGCGCCAGCCCCAAGTGAGCAAGGAACAATAGATTCAATGGCTTTCACTGCTACCATTAACGCCCTAATCTAGTGTCTGTGCGTATGTATGTATATGGGCGTGTGTTGGTGGGTGTATTCCATTGTTTTGCCAAATGTCAAAGTGAACTCCGGCCATCGCTAAGAACTTAATTTGGAATATCTATTTTGGTTGGTGGATTTCATTGTCGCCGTCAAGTTCTGTCCCCCGAACAAATACCAGCCAAGGGTCTTATTACTCAATATTGTATGCACGTATTTGTTGGCATTGTTAAATGGAGAATTGTAATTATATAGTAAGTGATTTTAATTATTTATTGATTATCAAATATTTGCTGGGTACGAAAACGATACCGTAGAGTTCTTTTAGAAAGTGAGGGCTGTGTTTTTAATGCATTTGCTAATTAACAGTTTGAATATGTATTTCGTGAATGACGGAAATTAAAATTTAGAAAGCATTTAACAGCACAACTGAACTTAGGCAACAATTTTTTGGGTAAAACCTTTAATGATTTCGAAGGAAACTCAGTTCGAATTTGCTTTTATATCCATTTGTTATTATCAGCGAAAGGATTTTTAGGGCCTAAAAACCTATAAAAAAGGCAAAATCAAATAACAAAATAGGCTAGGGTGGCGTTGAGACCAAGCATCTCTTCTCATAGAAATAATCAGCCCATTCATGGGCGGTACTCACGCCGCTTTTGAGAGTTATGTATAATTTTAAAGTTGTTTAGAACTTCGCACCACCAATAACAATCTTTTTTTTGAGATACAACGATGAATCAACCTTACGAACAAGTACTGTACTTTGAATTGGGTAGTATTTTGTCCTCTCGTAATTAACAAAAATTAGTCCTTATAAGTTGTCAACCCGCTCTGATATATAGCCCGGAAGTATGGATGATGACACTTTCTGATGAAACGGCCTTTGGAGTGTTCGAGAGATTTATTACGCATTTGTGACGGGGATTACCAGAGCTTTCCAATGACATAGATGTAAAAAAGTAAATTGCAAAAGCTCCATCCTAGAAAGTGGTGCTTGAAGAAGAGTGTTCGAAAAGGACTTGGCTTCGCTTGGCGTCAGTTAAATAGTAAGAAACTAAACAACGGTTATCAACAAATATATTGACATATACTGGTAGAAGTACTGGTAGATTAAATTAATATGTTCACTATGCTATCATTATCCCTAGAAAGCTACAAAGGTTAGGCTGGCTAATGCCAGACACTCATACTTATTTCTGTGTACTTTCTCAGCACCGCGTGCGTCTCTTGAAAATGTCTAAACCTCAGCTTGAAATACCGAAGCATATTCTACAAGAAAAAATGCAGCTTTTTACAATATGTAATTCCGGCCACAGTATTGGGCTTAAGCGCTGTTTGCAGCTCGCATGAAATATTTTTCATTAATTCTGTTGCTGGAAAAAGTACTTCGGTTTTTCTGTAAATTTTCTTTAAGAAAAATAATATTTGAACATTTTTTTCATGAGAGCTGCAAACTCATTTAGGAAATTTTGATAGAAAAAATTACTTACTATATACGTATTTTTCGTATTTCTTAAGAGCTGTAAACAGCTCTTTAAGCACTTAGCGTTTCACCTAAGCTAATCGTGTCATTCTATCCAATGGCGTTTAAACTTCACGAGTGTCTCTGTTGAATCTGTAGTATCTACATGCGTTTTCCGATCTGTACGATAGCCTAGAATCCCTTAAGAATAAAGACGCAAAACAATTTCAATATGTGTGTATGTATCTGCCATAGGTGGGGTGCACGCAGAAAGGTTATGACTAGGATAAACATTGGGATACTTTTCAAAGAGAGAGAGAGAGTTACCAACTTTTTCAAAAGTAAAAATCAATATGAATAGGTTATATAAAATACTTCGACAGTGTGGGTGTCAAACGCACGGAATTCGAAATCGATATATTCCATTTTAGAAATTTTTTTTTACCTGGTAAGGAATTAAAAATTAACTTTTTTAACATGTTACTTCAATTCAATATTTTAATGTTGTTATCAAACGAAAGGAGTTTAAAAAAGTTTTACTTTGAAAATATTTTTGAACATGTTTGCCTTCGCTTTGGAAATCCTAGCCCAATTTGCAAGAAAGATACGTTTTTTTCTTGCTGCTTGCTTAACCCACAAATATTGATTTTCACAAAACGTACTCTATACACTCTCTACGTACTCTATATATGTAAATACATGTGCATATATGCATATGTACGTGCGCATGTACGCATATATGTAAGTATGTACTTTTAATTTCAATTACTGTCAATCAATGAACCTTTTTCCATTGTGGAAATTAAATAAAATTGGATTACACGTACATATTTATCTACATACATACATTTATACTTAATTAAACGACACTCACTCAACTTTAGTTTTGATTTATAAATTCTCACTTATAAAATGCATTAAATGTTTTTAGCTTGCCGAATTTGTTAAAAAAAATGCATAAGTGCTCACATCCAACAACTTTAATTGTTTAATAATTCAAGAACCGATTTAATGGATTTTTGCACAAAAGAACAAAGGAATAAAATGCAATCAGTGCATATATGTATGTATGTATGTACTTATAGCAACAAAAAGTCACTCATACGATACGTACGCCCGATATGCGTAGACATGTTAAATTAAAATGTAACGGGTGATTTTTTAAGAGCTTGATAACTTTTTTTTTAAAAAAAACGCATAAAATTTGCAAAATCTCATCGGTTCTTTATTTGAAACGTTAGATTGGTCCATGACATTTACTTTTTGAANCGAACCGAACACTGATTTTGGTAATAAAATTCAATGATTTGCAAGCGTTGCTCGTTAGTAAGTCTATTCATGATGAAATGTCAAAGCATACTGAGCATCTTTCTCTTTGACACCATGTCTGAAATCCCACGTGATCTGTCAAATACTAATGCATGAAAATCCTAACCTCAAAAAAATCACCCGTTATCTTTGTACCTATCAAACCCTTAAGTGATTAAATATTTAAATTATTTCTATGTTTATTTAATGAACGACTACGCAGTTTCCATATGCTTATACACAAAATGCATTCTAATAAATAGTTTCGAAACAAGGGGAAAAAGCTAATGGAAATGTGATTCATATAAATACATACAAACTAAATAAAGTGACTGAAACAAGTGTTCTCGTGTTGACTTTTTTAAGTATGCACAATACATATATTTCAAGTCAAACTCTTTTTTTATTTTTTATGAAATTATTGTTCAAGCTTTAACCAAAACCATATAAATAATCTAATCTGATTTGATCAAATTATTTTTCGTGATTGGGATAAAGAAAATCTCGTTTTATGACGGATTTTCCGTTTTTTATTTATACGGGATTGGTTGGAGCATAATGTCGCCGCCACGATAAAAGCTGCTAACTCC